GAGCCTTAGTCCTCAAAGAAACACCCTTGCTCTTCGGTACTCTAAAGGGTCCTTGTGCAGCAGATTTACCTAATGCAACTCATCTTTTTCTTTTTAGATCATTTTATTGGGGGCTCTTACAACTGTCCAAACCCAGTGGGGAGCCACAGTGGGGATCTTGGATTAATACTAAAAGAATAAGAGGACTTGCTGACCACCACCACCTCCCTCCCTACCTCCCACCTTCCATACACACTGGAGTTGCTGGCTGGGATGTTTTTCTTGCCCTTCTTTAAGCATCATCCCTGCAAAGTGCCAGGACTCTGGGGCACCTGCCTCATGCTTCTGGGAGCCCTGGCATCTGGAGGACCTGACTGGATCCTAGGCTCTGATCCTTGCTTATTAATGATTCAGAGCAGTTCACTTGGTTCTTGAGTCTCTCTTCACAATAGCACAAGGGGGCTAGGAGTCCCACTTCTATGGGATCTTGTAAGCATCCCATCAGGTAGTGTTCCACACACCATGAAGATTGGGGAAATAATGCAGCCACTGCCATTAGCATCATCTTCCGGTCTCTTATGGCCCATGCACTTCCTTTGGCCGGGTGGGGGGCAGGGATGGTAACAATCACAACTCTCACTTAACAATTTTAGCAAATCATTCTTATGCATATTTATACCTTGCGAGACAGAAAGCACAAGGCTATAGTGATGATCAAAGGTATTAATATATTATTTATATATTTTCCATAAACTTCTAGAACAAATATATATATCTGTGTGTTATAGTTATTTTATATAATTCATTTATCTTTTCATTTAATTTTTCCATGAACTTTTGAAACTCATATGAATGAATATATATGTGTCTGTGTACACGCATGTATAAATAAATACACACACACATGCATGCACTTACCCATTGCAGTCTAGTTGATTATCACAATAATGATATACAGTTATATAGATAGTGCTTAGCAAGGACAGTAGTGACTCAGTGGTAGAATTTAATTCCTGTCCAGTTGCACCCTCTACCTACTTGTCAGTGTTACAGTGTTACTCCACAGGTTCGAGTGGAGCTTCCCGAATAAGCCAAATTGGGAAGAAAGGCCTGGTGATCAACTTCCAAAACTCAGCCAATGAAAACCCCGTGGATCACAATGGTCCAATCCATAGTTGATCGTGGGGATGGCACAGGGATGGGATGTTGTGCACAGTAGGCTCATGAATCTGGGCTGACCTTGATGGGAGCCAACAATAATATGATGTTAGGAAATGCACAATATTAGCTGTTTTAGTATTGTTGTTGTGACTGGTCCCTACGCCCTTTTTACAGATGAGTTGCCTGAGGGACCAAGAGATAAGGGCAATGACAGGAGATGGAGAGCCAAGATTTGAACCTGTGTCGGGATGGACATCGCATGCTTCCTCTGGCCTAATAATTCTAGGCTTGAGAATCTGGACTCAGTAGACAGAATATAGGTTACTGTCACTGAGCATTCCCTTCCCCTCTACAGTGTCCAGCAGGCCGTGGCAGGACTTTGTCACACAGAGCAGTGCACAGTGCAGCAGTGAGAAGCCAGCCCTGGGACCGACCAGAACTCTGCTTTGAGCGTTAAGAGCTTGGTCTTCCCAGCAGTCAGTTCTCCGCACAGAGAGCTCTGCAATGTCATGAAAGTACTGGCGGTGGTACCTTACATTCACGGCAGGGCTGCTTGCATGTAAGGCTTATGGACTGGTGATGTTTTAAGTCTTTAACTCCTCTGATGGCGCCACGAAGAAGATGCTAAACCTCAGGAGTGCCTGTCTTGTGAATGCTGTTAGCCTTACATGGTGCAGAAAGGGTGGTGGCCAGGGTCAGCTTGCAAAGATCTCAGAGGGAGGAAGTCTTGTGTTGAACACAGTTCTTGAAAACAGTTAGCCGGCCTCTGTCAGGAACTGTTATCTGCTTGCCTTTCAGGAGAGGTGGCATCTGTTTTTCTCTGGCACGAAAGACCAAATTTAATTAACTCCTGGGCATTCCCACTGTGTAATGATGCCACCCGAGTTCATCTCTTTCTATCACTGTCACTCCGTGCCCCTGTCAACTCCAATTCTGTTAACACAAATAGCCAGTTTACAAATCTAGGACCCACTTAGTGATCATAGTGATTGTCAGTGGAGGAGAGAGTAGCCATCTGATGAGGAATAAAGTAGCCTAGTTTTGAGGTAATTGGGACACCATAAGTCTGAATAACCACACTACAAACATTTTTAAAAAGTGGACGCCGTCTCAGAGTGTTGTGAAAGAAGGGCGAAAACTCACCCTGATCCAGTAAAGGTTAGCTGTTTGTCCTAAAAAACAAAACAAAACACTTACCTCCAGTTGTGTCCAGTGATAATATCAACTATGCAAAACATTGTTTTTCTTTTTTCATCAAGCAGAGCACTGATATTTCTTTAAGAATCTGAAATGCTGGACTTTGCCCCCACAAGGAGAGGGTTTTTTTATTTGTTCTCTCTTTTTTTTGTAAAGAAAGGTTTTAGATGGTGCAGTTTGGCCTCATTGCTAGAGATTTTGTTTGTTTGAGAAGTACTAATGTAGCATCCTTCTGAGCACTGAGAGAGAACACATGGACATGAGGTCCCCCCGCCCCCCTACCCGTGTTAGTCCAGGTAGACTAGAGAAATGAATCCAGGAGACGCATACATATGTAGGAGAGAAGTTTGTATCAAAGAGTAATTGTATCATAAGAAAACATGCCAGCCCAGTCCAGGTTATGTCCATACATCCGTTATTATCCCATATGACTGTTACCAGTCTATAAATTCTTCTTCAGACTTGTGCAGCTCATGCAATGACCCCGAATGCAGGAGGAAAGATCACAGGGCAGAGGGTGGAACATTTTATGGAGCCAGTGGTGGTGGAAGCATCTCGGACTGGTGCGGGTCTCCAGGTGGCTCCTCCAGCTCCAGGGCCCTGACTACCATCAACTTAGCTCCACGTGGCTTGTCAACAGGAATGTCTCGCAGGGAGTGAGTGTATCTGGCCTCCAGTGAGTTATTTATCTCTGTTGCGCCTCCAAATGAGGTCATCCAGCTGCGACCTGATTGACAGGCTAAACTCCACCCGTTCACTCTTAGTAGTCTCAAATTGACACTGGATTATGTAACACACACACACACACACACACACACACACACAGCCAAACCTCATCTTTCCCCACAAAGACAAATGCTTCTGTCTTCTTTGAGGGAAGAGAATGAATAAGGTTATTTGGAACACAACTTCCATGAGATGCTTTTGGAAAACAAACAACATAGTCTAAATAGATTTGGGGACTGCAGCCTACTCTAGCCCTTAGAGAGTCAGTGACATAATAAAGCCCTGATAAATCCTACAGTAAGACCCAAACCAAAAGAAAACCATTACTGTTGCATTGGCTCTGACTCCGGGTGCACCAAACACATCAAAGTAGACTGTTTTCCATCGGGTTTTCCGTGGCTGCTTCTTAGGAAGCAGATCACCAGTCCTTTCCTCTGTAGACACTGCTGGGCAGACTCAAACCACTACACTTTAGGTTAGCATTAGCACCAGTAGAGACTTCCCCTGCAGTAAGGGAACTTGTTTAAAGTCATTTTCTGTGACCACAGTATTCTTGTTGACAGAAGGTTTCTGTAAACACAGAGCATAGTTGGATAAGTCCTGGTCTCACGTCTACATCTGGCTCCTTCCTGCTGGGGAGGGGTCAGATAGAAATTCCCCAGCCTGTGGAGCCAATCAAATTCCCTTCCCTTGCCAACATGACAGTATCTGAGTGGCAGCCTGTCTAGGCTGTTTGTAAGAAGTCCTCCCTTGTAGGATGGGATGCCAGTCTTTAATGCAAGCATGGGACGAGGCAGAGCACTTGCCCAGCTCAGACTGGTTTCCTGGGTGTGTGTGCACTGAAAAAAATGGGAGGTGCACTTGAATGTCAGCTGGATGGAAAGCATGTGGGTTCCTGAATGCTAAAGAGTTTGGGTTTTACGTTTAAGACAAAAGCCCTTCTCACTTCCTGTAAATGTACCAGACAGCTACCTGGGACCCTCTGTGGCAGACCCTCTTCTTGGGGCTCATAGGGGAGGCTCCTGTGTCCAGGTTGGCTCAAGGAGATGGATAAGGACATTTTCTGGTCTTTGGGACAGAGGGTGGAACTTTATTTCTAAGGGACAAGGATGGGCTTATGTAGTATTTGTGAGAGGGCTGTTGGCAGAGAAGAAATTGAAGAAACACGGTGATCACTAACCCTTTCTGTGCAGTTGATCTCATCTCTGTTGATCTAAATGTAGAACACTGCTTGCTTCCTTGCAACGGGGGACATCCCTTCTTTTTAAATTTTTTAATTTTAATAAATCATTTTATTGGAGGCTCTTACAGCTCCTATAACAATCCGTACATCCATTGCATCGAGCACATTTGTACATATGTTGCCATCATCATTTTCAAAACATTTTATTTCTACTTGAGCCCTTGATATCAGCTCCTCTTTTTCCCCCTCCTTCCCCCACCCTCCTGAACCCTTGATAAAGTATAAATTATTATTATTTTCATATCTTACATCATTTGCCGTCCTCTCTTCACCTATGTTTCTTTTGTTCATCACAGGGGGTGGGGGGAAGCAGGTTATCCGTCGATCATTGTCATCAGTCCCCCTTTTCTCCCCATACCTTTCCCCTACCCGCATGGCATTGTGAGTCCCATGACTATTCCTGAGGGCTTTTTCTGCCCTGGATTCCATGTCTTGAGAGCTCTTTCTTATCTGTACAGTGTACATGCTCCGGGCTAGCCGGATTTGTAAGGTAGAACTGGGGTCATGATAGTGGAGGGGAGGAAGCATGAAAGAGCTAGAGGATGGTTTCATCAGTGCTATACGGCACCCTGGCTGGCTCATCCCTTCCTTGTGACCCTTCTGGGAGGGGATGGGGGACATCACCTCTAATGTCCCAGAGCTGCCTTCCTATCTCCCTGACAGTGCGTTAATGCCCCGCTTTGTCTTCCTCTAGGACTTCGTGGGTGAAGTTTTCAGAGAAACACTCAGTGAAGGGGAGGAAGAGGACTTTCAACTGGAAGGTAAAGTCCCCAGCTCTCCTCCTTCAGCAGTGAGGTGACAGGAGCAGGGGTGTAGTCTGCCTTTGTGTCCCTTTAGGAAACCTATAGATAAGGCTGAAGATGAAAGAGTGGGTGGGGCACTGGGATGAGAGGGAAAATCAGTTTGGGTTGGTTCTAAGCTAGGCCCCCACCCCATCCCTTCACATCCTGGTTCCTCTTTGTACTAGCTGTAGGGGCTAGGACAAGTTGGTTTGTAACAGCAAAACAGCAAAACCATGACTGGGAGTGACCAGACAGCACTCTTGGGGAACTTGAAAGAGGAAACACTTATTATCTGGCAACCCAGAGGAACTAGTGTCCCAGAAGCTGTGCGCGCTGAATGTCAGGCAGGCGTAGCTTTTATACGTTATCTGCATGAGCAAGGTCACAGAGGGCAACAGGCAACGATTTCTAGTGCAGACACAGGGTCCCCAGTAAAAGAGGAACTGGGTTGGGGGATGGGTGCGTTCCTGAAACGAGGAAGTACATGGGGTAAGGCAGTACCTTGGGTTTCTTTTTCAAAGGGTAAGATTCCCTATTAAGATTTTCCTTACATTTCACCCCCCTTTGATGCCCATTATTTTTGCTACTTATAGACTTTCAGAGTCTCCTCTTGGTATAAATCAGGTACCAGGGACATGAAGGGGGCTGCTTTGCTATTGTGGTTGGCAGTTGGGAGTTTGTTGTCCCCTAACCACATGGAGTTTGTTCTTGATTCCCTGACAGCTAGTCTCGGATGGCCAGCCACACCAAGCGCTGGTCCAGAGGATGTCTCCCCAGTGAGCGCAAAGGCCTCGGGAGGCACCCACGCATGGGTCCCTTTTCCACAGCTCAGTTCTCATTTTCCAGGACCTACCACAGTCTCCGTTATGATTTTGGGCACAGATACATCGTGGAGGCAGCTAGTAGCCACTGGGCACTAAGATCTCCACAGTCCAGACCTAGGCAGGCAAGGTCCCTCGAGATGGACCAGCTATGGAACTGTGGGAACTATAAGCAGATTAAAGATCCAAAGAGGGCTAAACAAAAATGTAAAAGTCCCGAGGAGCCCTCACTGAAAGATGACCCATTCTTCAGGGGCAGGGATGGCGAGTTCTAAGGCAACTAGGAGAGCTGGGCTCCTAGCATGGCATGCTCCAGAGGTGACAGGTCAGGAGGCGCTTAGTCTCCGCAGATCCTCAGGCTTCTGCGGTGCTTAGACTAGTCAGCTTCCGGTCCTGTGCCCAGGACAGGGCTGCTGTCTTTTTCAGCAGGCAGCTCTCCTCTCAGGGTCAGTTTGAGTGGGTTCGAAGGAATCTGGCTGGCGGTCTCCCTAGAAGCAGCTGGGGCATGAGTTTCTTCCTCGGGTGCGATGGATCCATGTGCCCTGTAAGTTTAACAGCAGTCGGAGTGACCAATATTATGGTATGGGGTGCAGCCCATGCCAGCTTTAAGGGTTCCTGTTTCTAGTCTGTTTGTTTTTTTTTCAATGAGTCGCCAGGCTGAAAAGGATGGACTGGATTTCCCAAGGGGACCTGCCACTACCAGCATGGCACAATGGCTGTTTCTGAGGGCAGCTCCTAGGGCTTGGAGGTCTTCACTGAGGCCTTGCAGCCCTATGGCAGTGGGGTCACCCTTGAATTGTCTTATTAGGGGTGGGGGTATCCCAAGTATTATTTCAAAAGGTGAGTATCCACTGGGTCCCAGGGTGCACCGAGTGCCGAGAAGGTTGTAAGGTGGAACCTTGGGCTATTTGAGCCCAGTTTCCTGACAGAACTTTCCCATTGTTGCCTTCAGGGTCCAGTTCATGCGCTCCATTTTCCCTAGGTTCTGAGGGCCTGGGCCTTGTGTAAGTTCACTTTTAACCCTAAGAGGGTGGTCAGTTGTTGGACCACCTTTGCTATGAATTCATTGTCACTTTCTATAGTCAGAGACGTTCCATACCGAGGGATGATTTCCAGAAGGAGATGTTGGGTCACCTCTTGGGCCTTCTCTGTGTGGGTTGGTCTTGCCTCTACCCATCTGGAGGAAATGCAGACTATTCCCAGCAGGTAACCGTATCCTGCAGCTTTGGGGATGTCAGTGAGGTCTACCTGAGTGTCTATTGGACCTAGGGCAGGGGCCTTGGCGAGGGCCCTTTTAATGTCAGCGAAGGCGTGATCTTGCGCCTGCATCCACTCGACAGGCACACAGAGGCTTCACCTTGTGTGTGAAGCCTGGTGTCTAGATGCAGCCAAATCCCGCCACCCCCAGGAACTCCCATAGCTGCTTCCTGCTGGAAGGTGGAGGGATGGAGCAGATGACCTCTTTTCTCTCAGGTTCCAGCGAGCAGCATCCCTCTGCAAGGTGAAAACCCCAGGGGTTGACCGCATTGCTGACGTAGGTGTGCCCTTTCCCATGAGACCTTGTCCAAGAGCTACAAGAGCTCAAGTGCCCCTGTGCCATAGTCTTCCTGGGTCTCGTGCTCAAGGAGCAAACCATCCACAGACTGGAAGAGTGAGAAGTTTAGCTTGTCTCTGGGGAAGCTGTGCAAGTCCGATTTTAAGGCCTCTCTGAACAAGGTAGGCACATTTTTGTACCCTTTGGGTAAGGGCGTCCATGTCAGTTGGCTCTTATTTCCGGAGGTCAGATCCTCCATTCAAAGGCAAAAATGGGCTGGCCGGTGGACTCTAGTCTTAGGTAGAAGAAGGCACCTTTCAAGCCCAGACAGGTAAACCAGGTGGCTTGGGGTGGAAGGAAGCTCAACAGTGTGTATGGCTTCAGGATCATGGAGTGCAGGATGACTGCGGCAATGTTGACAGCCGTTGCATGGGGCAGGACCCTGGGCCTCCACCCACAGGCTTATTCACAGGGAGGATGGGAGCGTTCCTGGTGTTCTGGCATTCTCAAAGCATCCAAGCCTCTCGGAGCCCAATGAGGTGCTCCATACAGGCCTCTCTGGAGATATGGTACTGTCTGACCCTAACGGGTTGTACTCTTGGCTTAAGTTCAACCACAGCCAGTGCCTGGTTGACTGCAAGTCCTGGGGTGAGTGCTTGGCCCAGATATTGGGAAAGGCAGTGAGGAGCCCTTCTGGGTTCTCGTGACTGGTGGGGTGGCTTGAGTGGAGTGTCCACTCTTTCTGGGGTATCATAAGAGTCATGACCAGGTGCTTTGGGTCCGTCAGGGACAGCTGAATGGGGCCCTTTGCCACAAAGGTGATTCTTGGCCCCAGTTTATACAGAAGATCTCGACCCAGAAGGAGCACAGGTCAGTCGGGAATGTAGAGAATCTTCTGAACTACTTTGTGCCCCTCCAGCCAGCGGTCCAGGGCTGACATAAGACTTGTGTTGTGGTTTGCTCAGTAGCCCTGATGAGAGTGACACTCTATTTGCTGCGAGGGGCTACTGGGGTGTTGATGCCAAATGCCTCACAGAGCCGTGCACAGTAATTTCCTGGGCTTTCGTTGGGCTTCTGCAGTACTGTGGCTGGTTTAGACATGTTCTTGGGGTTTCACCTTGAGAGGTGGAACCCCTTCAAAAGGGCCACCCAATACTGGTCAGTGCACCCTGCCCCGACAGAGTAAAGAAGTCCCATTTGGGCCGAGCATCCAGGAATACTTGTGCCCACTGGAGGGACCCCTGGAGGGCAGGTATTTGTAGGTACTTTCATGCCTCTCGGGTGCTGTGCCTCCTTTGTTCAGTGATGAGAAGCTGGTACAGTGATGCCAGGTGGGACTATAGGTATGGATCAATGAATCAACTAATTTAATCAGAGCCTGGAGCTTCTCTGCATAGAGGGGGTTTATTTTTCCAGTTGAGATCAGAGATGCTGAAGTGGGCCCAAATGTGGGCTGTCTGGGTGCCATTGTCCTGTCAGGGTACAGTTGGGAGTGGCCAGGTTTTTCAGACCTGGAATTGTCCAGCGGGTTAAGGTGGATGCCTGGACTCAGATGGAGGAACAAGGATGACTCGCAGCCAAACTGGGAATGGCTGGGTGGGTGGGGAGCCCTGGGGCCAGCCGCCAGAGTTGGTGCCCAGAGCAGCAGGGAGACTGAGGGTGGTGGCACGTCCAGGAGACTGGCTGCTGCAGCCAGTGGTGGAAAGCTGTAGGGCTCTTCCTCAGGGACAGTTTCGTGACTGTCTGCAGAGTTTGGCTTTTCTTTTGAGTGACAAAAATCTGACTCTGTTCCTGCCTAGTGCAACAATCCTGGGCCCATGGAGGCAAGGAACAGGCTACAGTTAATCAAAAATTTATATAGGGTAACTGGGCAGGGTGGCCAGGGTTCCCCATGGCCACATTCCAAATGTCCTAGACTGTAAAGGGATTGAGCATGTCATCTCGGGGCCCCAATCAACATCAAAGGATGGTCATTTGACCTGGAACAGCCCAAGAGTGGTCCTGATTTTAGTTTTATACCACAATCTTAAGGGATTTTGTCAAGTTTTTTTAAACTTTTCACTTTCTTTTCGTTTTTCCCCTAACAGTTTTATTGGCATATAATTTACATATCATACAATTCAAGATTTTAATTGCTCATTCATAGCAAGGAGAATTGTGCAATCATTACCGCATCAATTTTAGAGCATCCTCCCCACCATGGTTAAATCGCTTTTCAAATGACTTATACAATCACAATCCATTCTAGTGCTCCCTGTCCCTCCCACCTTCATGATTTACTCCTGAAATTCCCTTGCCCTCCTATCACCCCCATCCTGCCCTTGTATTCCCTATATCCCCTTTATCAGGAGACCCAACAGAAAATAATAAAAAACAAAATCTAAGGTGGTAAGAATAAGATCATAATAGTATAAATACAGGATATTTGATCACAGAGTCTAACAGGCTGGGACTGGTGATTACCCATGGTGTACGTGGAACCCTTGAACAGGGGCACAACAAAGGAAGGAGGTCCCTCTAAATGAGGCCACACAGACCTGTCTGACCACATCCCTCTCAAGAACTTTAAGACCGTCCTGGCTAAGGAGCAGCCGTATGAACTCCATGTCTGCTCAGCTTCCACA